TGTCTTCGTCCGTTGCTGTGTAAGATAGAGGCCTAGCTCGCATACACGGCTACGAACTGCCTCCTTCCTCATCCGCTACGTGGTGTGGTCCCACGTGCTTACAGTATCAGAAAGGTAGTCTCCAAAAGGCACCTCACAAGAGCTGTAAATTGGATCGACCGCTAACCAGAATATCTCCTTCCTCTTCCGCTGCAAGGCATGTTTACCCCGGGGTGCTACGTTTCAAGAGTATCGGAAAGGTAAACCCCATAGGGCACCTCACAAGACATTGCCCCCACGGTGTTACACCCAAACAGGCACCTGACAAGAGATTCGCCCCTGGAGGCCATCGAGCTATCGATGTAGCAGCTCTTAACACCAAAGTTAACGGTCTGCAAGCACCCCTACGCTATCCAGGTACGCGAATCCGTTCAGGAAGGAGGTTGAGATACGACAGAGATCCGGTAGGGGTAGATAAGCGAGTTGGTCGGATAATGTGCCAGCCTTAGGGAATAACCCCGCACGGGCATATCCGTTCATGCAGAAGCCATACACACCTCTTTACCATACCTTCCTGATTCATCATGTGTCCCGCTGCCAAGAGCCAAGACCTTTATCTTCTAATATCGAGGGGCGCTTAGCAGATAGGAGCTTTTGCGATGGCTCTCTTCATTCGCCGATTTTCCTGTAGTGCCGGTAGTTTGGCGTTCTGCCCTCTTGGCGAGCTCGGGAATTGCAAGGGCATAGTCCACCTATTCTGGTGTTTGTTCGTAGTCCAAGTAAATGGCCAGTAGATATGCGTGCTAATCGTGGTGATCGTCACTGGCAGCTCCCCGGAGTTGAACTTGTGAGCGTAGCGACAGTGTCTAGACTCGTAGAAAGTCCCTATGAGTCAGGGAACTTTGCCGGTTCGTCGCTGATCAAGAAGGGTCCAGCTGCTTCTAAGCGATCATTCCTCGTGATGTTTACCATTGGTAAATACGCGGTGGTAAAGTTCAGTTGGCTCCAGTGCCGCTCGTCGAATACTAATCAACCCAGAATCCTGCTGCAAGAGAACCACAACTTCCTGCACACATGTGCTGGCGCTGTTCGGTTATGCTGTATGGACGTTGTTTTTCCGTGTTACTAGTATCCGCAATAGTAGTGAAGGATCAGAAGGGAGGGTCGCTCCGAGCGGGTCCTACACCCTCCTCCTGCCGGTACTCGTATTAGAATACAAGCTCCCAATCATGGCGAGGCGTGGGCAAGAATCCGTCAATGCGAGTTCGGAAGACTAGATGCATGAGGGATAGCATACACATTGCCACAACCGCTCGTAGCGTCCTCATGCCCAGCCGTTTGCCGTGCCTGAACCAAGGACGGCTGGTACCTGGCTGCAAGCGTGGTGGCTGGAAGCGTGACCCCGTATTGCGCCATCGTTCCACAAGCCGAGGTGAATTCGCTGCGCACGCGGGTATGATGAAGTCAACGGCGCCTGCACCATGTTCGAGGTTGAGTCGAGTGGCAAGATATTATGCTGCTGTATCCGCATTTGTGAAGTGGCTGATGAGACGTGATGTGTGAGTACCTGCGGGTGCAGAGGTGATGGACGGAGGGGCAGACGTGGCCGACGCCGGCGAACATCATTTCCACTAGCGCAACGCTAAAACGCACGACGTTCCAGACAGGAAGGAGCTCTACGTCGATGTCATGCGCACATGAGACAGCCGCACTTCATTCAAGAAAAAGCATATACCAGGAGTGTAGACTACATCACGATAAAAGCATGCGAAGTAGGTAAGCTGACGTCGATGTAGGCTTCAGGGTGTTCGGTTCTCCTAGGTTAACATGGACGAGTTCTGAGTGATATCGCATAGTTGCATTGCACCCGGCCATTCTGTAAGCTACAACACAGGCTCGCAACGCCACCCTGAAGACATCGCAAGTCCCTACAATGCACAGGCAAAATCGTCCCAAAGCGCTGCTTTCCTCTTGTCGTTGGCCGCCAAATCCTCACACTTAGACGCGGAACCTTTGCAAAACAAATCGAAGGTGAACGGAAACGCAGAGTACCAGCATGAGCAAATGCTACTCAATTTTTCCCTCTCGTTGATGTCAACAGGCGTCTTTGTCTTTGATGTACCTTCGATGGATGTTTTTATATGCCAGTGGCTAGTGTCATTGTAATTCGCACACTTGAGATCACCGAGAGCAGTGTAGTCTGTGAGCCAGGGGAGTTTATCCTCTCGCTCATCCGGTGTGACGTAGACGCCATAGAGGCGGTCATTGAGCTTGAGCACGCCACCACGTCTTTTGGTGGCATCCGTGTCGCACTGGGGTAGTTAGTAGCTGGACTGATGCTGCCATGGGAATGCACTAATGTCTTACATTGCGTATGATATCCTTGTAAGTCAAGCGACAGTGGTCGACTTTGTCGTCATCTGTAGCTCCTTCAAAAAAGTGCCAAGTGGTTCGAGCTTGTATGAACAACGCAGGATCAGCGACCGCAAAGAATCCAACATGCGAGTCAGCGTTTGTTTTTGTGAGTTTGTACGCCCTACTTGCGTTACGGAAGTCCGAGGTATCGCGCACAGATGGTGGAATTGGGGTTGTTTTGTCCCAGTGCTTGATGATGTCTTCGCAGAACTGTTGGGCAAAGCCAACTGCCTCCTCTCCGTCGAATTCTTTCGTATTTGGGTACTGGTCATGGCCTTCACCGAAGCAAGTACGGTCGGACATTGCATCCGTATTGAGTAGTTGGTCTTTGTGGGCATCTACAAAGGTACCGATCCATGAGTCCTCCTTGCCCCTTACGGACTCGTCTGGGAGTTTTCTGTAATACGGGGCGCTTAGTATATCGGCCTTTCGTCCTTCATCAAGCTTAGTCCCAATATCGAAATCATTTTTATTGGGTTGTAGTAGAGAAGCGTCGTAGTTCGGCTGGGAAAGTCCGCGCCAGTGGAACCAGCCTTTTACTTGGATTTGGGCAGATTCTTCGTTATTGAAAGGAACGACCATTTTGCCGTAAGATGGATCATCATCAATTCTAGGGAAATAAGGAACCGTGCCGCCGATAGCCTGCGATACGTAGTTGGATAGGGCAAAAAGAGCATAGTTGTCCGCTAGAAATGATCAGCTTGACAGGAAGTTATGCAGGATATGATGAACATGCCGTTCAATGCTCCCCAGTCGTTGGAGCTGTCGTGAACTCGAGCCAAAACCTTGGCGCAAAGTACCCCGTAGCAAGCTGACCACGACTCCTTGACTCCGCCAGGAGAATCTTGCCACACATTGACCCAAAGGTCTGAGATGGGTCGTTTTAGTTCTTTCGATGTAGGAAGAAACTGGACCAGCATGCGCAGCAAGGTAGTAGCTGATCGATGTCAGTGATCTAGCGGCAAGTGTACAATTGTTGAGTTACTCGCCTCGATTGTCGTGATAATACCCTGAATTGTATCGAGCCGTAAGATTAGTAGGGGAATTGATACCCATCTGAACCCTATGGTTCAGTGGAGGGAGTCCGAAGTATTCGCGACAGATTACAAGCCCCGGTTGTTGACCTTGCGTCTTGGCAATGCCGGGAAAGTTGGTACGCTCGTCACACGGAGCTGAGCCGTCGAAGTTGCACCCCACCGAAATTGGCTCTGAAAGTTGCAGCACGCCTGGAAAAGCACTCTTGATGACCGGGATGTGTTCGACCGAACTTTTGCCAAAAAACAGCCAAAAATTTGGGTTGTCCGTGTAGGCTGTTTGGCTTTTGAATGTAACGTTGACCATATCCATAACATCTTTCAAATCGTTGTCAAGCATGTCTCGATGCTCAGCCTTGCATGAATCGTCAAAGGAGATTATGGAGTTGGCAGTTGATGGCAGCGCTGATACCGAGGGCTGAGGGCCTGTTTGTGCGAGAGTCTGGGAAGGTGATTGTAAGTCTACTTGAGAGGACGTTTGTTGGCTAGCCTGAGAAGCAGCGGAGACTACCTGAGAAGCCACCGAGGCAGTCTGGGAAACTGTAGAGGCTACCTGCGAAGAACTTTGCGCGGCGCCATCCGCTATGAGAGAGAGGATCAAGAAGATCGTAAGCATTAGACCATTCGGTCTAAACACTGACGTGGCTAACGAGCGGACTTTCTTGATGACGTTGAACATGTTGCAGGACGAGCGATAGGAGAGGAATAGCCGTAAAATGGCAGGGCAATAGATATAGTGTGCAAGTATAGCAAAGATGTGAGGTGATGTTGGCTGTTTTGTATTCGCGTGATGGTTTTTATCGAAAAGATATTGTAGCAAGGAGAGAGAGAACCGCGACACGGAATCTTATACTCACCGATGACTGTTGCGTAGGACGTGGAAGTATGCTTTCTGTCATAGCAGAGTCGTTGTGACTAGTCTATAGGATTTGGTGACTGGACGGTGGTTCAAGTTCTTGTTTAGTGAGAGTTGGGATGTTTCGCGGTTCGTGTCATTTTCCGGACCGCATACGATGGAATGTACTCCAGCTTCGTGTAGATATCGACTCTTGTATTCCATACATGTGCATCACCAGCCTCTCATCGCGCCGCCTAGACTATCCACTAATGCACCGCATGTTCGCCACAGCACCCATGGTAGCCCCTTGCTGCGTGAAAACATCCGCGCAAGACTTCCCCGGTTGCTTACAGACCATAGCCGCACCCATGGGGTTGCTACCAAACCAACACGTACAGAGCCGCCCCGTACGTTCGCTATCGTTGATATCGATAAAGGGTGCGACCCGCCATGCACTCGTGGCATTGTAATCCGTGCATTTGGATTCTAAGGTCCGTGGTATGTCCCAGTGGGCTGATGGAGGCGTCATAGCGCCTACGGCGAAGATCTGCAAGTGCGTCAATAATGGTTCTTAAGTGCGACTCTCGAGGATTCATCATAGCATTATCGTTCGGTCAAACCCAAGGGGAAACAACGCACCATGTCGTTGATCTTGAGATAGCCACCGTATTTGTCGTCACTGTCTCCTCCATCGCACTGGGTTTGTTAGTATAGGACGCAAGCATTTGTGGAGATTAGCAACCAACATGTGTAATGAGGTCGTTGTATGTTGCTATGCAATGCGAAGCTTTCTCGTCAGATTGTATTCCTTCGAAATATAAAGATAAGTTCTTCCCTGTCATGAAGCTATCAGGGCCTGGGGAGACATAGTAGACTAGATCCTTTGTACCATCCGGGAGTGGTGTATACAACTCGACTTCCTTATCAATTTGGAAGATGCGCGGATGTAGAGGCTTGCCAGCAAGCATGTAGTCGTTGACTTTGTTCTTGCAAAAGTTGTTCAATTCACTCTGCACTTCGTCAAATGTAAAGGCTATGGCGTCCGGGAACGCGGCTTTATCTTCGCGATAACATGTGTATTCTTTTGATGCACCCAGGTTGGACATGCCGTTCTGTTTTGCTTCGTTGAACACCTTCAGGAACTTGTCACGAAGTGCTTTAAAACCGGATGTGGTGGCCCCAAAGGACCAGGGCGCATTCTCTAGATCAGCCTGAGATTCTTTTGGAAGTTGATCCTTGAAGTCTAAAATGTCTGTCTTCTGGTATCGCTCGACGTCGTAATACCACTGGGAATCACTCTCTGCGCTAAATTCCGGAGTCGCCTGGAAGGTCTGGATATCTCCCAAAAGAAGAGACCGAATGATGAGATTTGGACCATCTTCGAGACGAGGAAGCCATGGGAAGTTGGATGCTCCAAGACTGTTAGATTCCCCAAGTTGATGAGAAACGTACTTCTGCAACGCAAAAAGAGCATAGTTATCGGCTATACCCGTCAGCATCGGGTAAGAGTTCTTCTTGTTGTCAAATGCATACCATTAAGAATGCTCCATGTTTCACTGTCGGCCAACTGAGCTAGGAGCTTAGTGCAGTATACACCATAGCAAGCTGTCCATTTGCTCGCCCCACCCGCATATCGCATGTACACCCACAAGTTGGAGATATGCCGGTTCCAGCCCTCTCGTTGTGGGAGATAGTAGAGCAAAGCTCGCAAGAGTGCGGAAGCTATTGGTAGATTAGTATAGGGTGAATGTGGATATGTTCGAGATGGCATTCCCGTACCTTGGTTCTCATGATAAGAGCCCATATTGAACCGGCGCGTCCAGTCGACTGAATCGCTCAGACCCATCTGAACTGCCTCATTCAGAGGAGGGAATCGGAAGTACTCCCAACAAAAGTAGAGATTAGGTTTGAGGTCCACCCGGGGGCCTTCGCTGCCTATGCCGCCATACACGTGTTTACTTTGACATGCCGCTGTCTCGTTCTTGATGTCGCAAACCGCATTGATCTTCCAAGCGGCACTCACGGTTGCGCTTGAATAGTCCTTAAACACGCTCTCGACCGTGCTAGCATTTGGAATAGCGCTAGTACCAAGATACTCGACGAAGGGTGGGTCTTGTTCAAGATTGGCATTTGACCAATCTAGCTTTCCATAAAAGGCCAACGTGCCAGTCCCGACAAAGGCGGTTTTGATGATGTTCTTTTGATCGGGGTCACAAGTATTGCCGATCACGAAATTCTTGTCCGCATCGACGTTGGGGACTACAATGGGCGCCGCGGAGGCAGCTTGTGTATTGGTCGGAGTAGTGCTTGGCGACGCGGCCTGAGAGATAGCTTGAGTGGTCTGAGAGGCGACCTGAGAAGGCTGGGAAGTAGCCTGAGAGGTCTGAGATGTAACTAGTGAAGTCTGAGAGGCAGCCTGCGAAGCCTGAGAGGAGGCCTGCACAGAAGCCTGTGATGCGCTTGGTGAATTGTCGGTACCAGCCTGAGCCGAGCTTTGAGCAGCAGTCCCGGCGATTAGAGAAAGTATCAAGAAGAGCGTGAAGACTACGCTGTTCAGTGGGATGATAGCCATGCTGGAGCTGCGAACGTCCTTGCCGGCGTGAAAGATCGAAGCCTGAGTGGCCGGCAATAGTGACCGTAGCTCGGTAGTGTGCGATAGGCCGTGTGGGTGTGCAAGCGTGTGTGGCGCGTTGTTGCGTAGTCAATCGATGTGTAGTAGTGTTCATATGAGAGAGATTGTAGGAAGAAAAGAAGGAGAACGCATTGCATAATCTTGTACTCAGCGATGACTATTGCGAAAGACGTGGCAGAATAGTTTTGGTCATATACCGGAGTCATTATGACTGAATTTCATCAGCCAAATGACTGTTTGTTGCTTCGGCCATGATTCATATATCCCATCTGTTCCAAGACGCGTAGATGTTCCGCAGACGGGCATGTTCATCAGAACCCGTGAAGATTGAGTCGATTGCTCGCACGCAAAGTGCTCTGATAGTCTTTCGATCCAAGTGGAAATGCTGCGCTGCGAGGTAATACTCTTGCGAGAGAGGGCTGCAAAAGACACCTACATCATCCGTCTGCCGGGTGTTAGTCATCACGAGGAACACACAGTTTCCAGAGCTGAACGTACGCTCAGAGCGACGGGAACACTGCTGTGGCGCCACACACCAAAGTGATGGTCCGAGTAAGTGCCCGTGATCATCTTGGCATGGACGTTACAGCTGAGGCACAGCTCAACGCCGATTCCGTGCTGCTCGATGGTCTTCTTAAACTCATCTTTGACATGTATAACGTGACCCAGTCTGTCAGGTTGCCATGACAGGAGTGTTTGCAACTCCAAATCCGAGGAAGAATTTTCGCTCTCGGCAAAGTGCAGCGTGATCTTCAGTCCGGCAGCCTTTGCCCGAGCGAAGCTGTCGCCGAATATGCGAATGTCACCTTTCGCTGGGTCGCCGCATAGGTCGACACCAACAACGCCGGCGGACTGATACTTGATGGCGAGATCGACGACTTCTTCTGCGTCTGCGATGTTGTTGCGACGGTCGATTGACAGTATGAGGAAAGCTCGCATGGTGTTGTTAGCATCGTCGTTATGGGCATTGAGTATGTCCAAAACGGTCTTCACGTAATCATCCTTGGTTACGCCTTCTCCAAGGATCGCTCTTGGGGTCGTTCGAAGCTCAACGTATACTACCCCATCATCCTGGAAGTCTTGCAACACAGCCCTGGTGGAGTACCTAGATTGATCAACCGCAGCTCACCATACACGTCCGTGTCGACAGACATACTGGATGCTCGGCAAATCACTGCAAAGGCGATAGATGTATGACGAAAACAGCGGGAAGAACCTAATCTAGCTGTCAGACGTCTGCTAGTATTTCGCGTGGTGAGCCAGTTGTTTGGGACGACCGAACGGGTAGCGATCATTTGTCAGGAGAATATTGGCCGCGAAATCGCTTGCGCGATCGTCTTGGCCCATGTATTCCCAACGGCACGCCGGTGTTACAGCGAGAATTCCGAACGACGAGCAAATCGAGCTAGGCCTACGTTTTGATATCGTAGTCGACCTTGCCCGCGGGTATGGCGACCAAAGGGTCCTCGAGGTCGAAGTCAGGCTGCCGTGCTTTCTTTGTCTCCCATACGGCGTGCAGGCAGTCGCGACTGATGCTGCCGGTTAAGTGGGCATGAAGCTGAGTCGCGTCATTAGCAGCAGCGAACGGAAGTCTGAGCGTCCTTGGCGCGATGACTAGGGACCGAGGAGGCTGGAGCAGTACCTCAATCTTGGGCAGGCCCTTGGTGAAGGCAGCGTCGACGGGCAGGTCGTGTGCAGTCGCAATGGGGAGTGCAGCCATGCTGGGGAACACGGCGGTATTGGTGGCGTGGGAATGGTTCTCGAAGCGATAATGGAAAGGTGAATAGACTTCAGGAGGAGGCCTGGGGGGTATAGCGGCGGACGCGGGTCATAGTGCCAGCCGAGGCTGCTCGCTGCTCATTCGTCCGTCGCCTAAAGGAGGAGGTGCGCTGCAGGAGATTGCAGCGCGCGCCTTCTTCGTCAAGGTCTGGACAGGAGCAGAGCATAGCAACACCACGTTCGCGCCTCCAGCTGTGCAAACACCCGACCCGACACCACGCAGGGCTCTCTCACGTTGCCGCCCCTTCACATCGCTCACGTGTCACGGCAGGTGTTTGCAGTGGGCATCTTCGCGACAGACTGGCGGAGCACCGCCCTTTGATCTCCAGCGCTCGTTGCTCGGCTAGGCCAAGCTAAGCTCACCCCGGGCCGCTCCTGTACCTCACTCATCTCCAAGCACTCACCCTTCCATCCTCACGCCCCCACGACCGTTTGCCAGCCGCCGCTCCCTCTGCGCAAGCAATTGATTCTGCTCTGCGCGCGTCTAGCCATTGCTGCCGCCTGTCCATCGCTCCTTCCGCCGCTCTCTCTCGCTCCCGGCTGCCGCGCTCCCTAGGAGGCCCCTGGATTCGCCTGCCTCGCCGTTTCGCGCCGCTCGCGACAACACCCTCACCACCAGCACACCACTAATATATGGCCGATATGAACCAAGAAACGATCCAGCAGAAGATCCAGCTCGCCCGCCGCGACGCTGAGGCGCTCAAGGACAGGATAAAGCGCAAGAAGGATGAGCTCGCTGACACGACCCGTATGTTCTTTTTCCAGCCGGCGTGCTCACCGCATCGGAACCTCGTAGACGGCTAACACAAGAGCGCAGTTCGCGATGTCGCCAGAGACCGTGTCGAGGCTCTGCCGCGCCTCACCATGAAGACGAAGCGCACCCTCAAGGGCCATCTGGCCAAAATCTACGCCATGCACTGGTCCACCGACCGTAGACATCTCGTCTCCGCCTCGCAGGACGGAAAGCTTATCATCTGGGACGCCTACACGACCAACAAGGTCCACGCCATTCCTCTGCGATCGTCCTGGGTCATGACGTGCGCCTACTCCCCGTCCGGCAACTACGTCGCCTGTGGTGGTCTCGATAACATCTGCTCCATTTACAACCTGTCGGCGCGGGAAGGCCCAACACGCGTGGCACGCGAGCTGTCTGGCCACTCGGGCTACCTCAGTTGCTGCAGATTCATCAGTGATAAGCGCATCCTTACATCATCCGGTGACATGACCTGTGTGTTGTGGGATCTGGAGACTGGCTCCAAGGTGCACGAATTTGCCGACCATCTCGGTGATGTAATGAGCTTGAGCATCAACCCGCTCGACCACAACCAATTTGTCTCCGGTGCTTGCGACGCCTTCGCGAAGCTCTGGGACATCAGACAGCAGAAGTGCGTGCAGACCTTTGCCGCGCACGACTCTGACATCAACGCCATCCAATTCTTCCCCAACGGAAATGCCTTCGGTACCGGTTCCGACGATGCCTCCTGCCGTCTGTTCGACATCCGCGCCGACCGCGAGCTCGCATCATACCAGGTACGCCCGCTGACATATCTGGCACTCTTGGCATTTGGATTACTAATGTCTGCCATAGATTCCTGAGCCCGTCTGCGGTATCACATCCGTAGCCTTCTCCGTCTCCGGAAGACTGCTATTTGCTGGTTACGACGACTTCGAGTGCAAGGTAAGCAGTCAGCGCAGCCCCCACAGGTTCCACAGTCTAATAATATCCAGGTTTGGGACGTACTCCGCGGCGAACGCGTAGGCACATTGCAAGGACACGACAACCGCGTCAGCTGTCTCGGCGTTAGCAACGACGCGCTCAGTCTATGCACTGGTTCATGGGACTCAATGGTAGGTTCTCTCGTGCTCCCGTCTGCATCACACAACTGACTTGGCATAGCTGCGCATTTGGGCATAAGTGCCATCAGCCTCCCGAACTTCCACGACGCCATGTAACGACGCCAATCCGAACGTGTGCGCCTTACCGTAATATTGGCAAACTACAACCTACGACAGCGATCTCCGCAACTCCTGGCATACCATACCCCTGCTGCATCTTATCAACCAGGAGACTGAGCGCTGCCATACTCTAAGAATATAATACTCGCACCTGTTGGAATCGTCGATGTGGCTACGGTGCCAACTGATGTCCCGGCGCCCGGAATCTTTTTGTGCTCAAACTACTTTTTCTTTTCATACCACTGTTCTATTCCTTTCTCGACGGTGCGAGCATACTGCTCACACTCGTCTTCATGTCCGGGCCGGCTGTTCTACGTACATGAGTAGCACCTATCTACATCAACCTTCGACATAGTCTTCTCCTTGCGTTCTGCCTGATCATTAAAAGCGACCGATTGTACTTGCACTTGCGTGGGAAGAGATGGGGCTGTGCAAGACGGGGAGCTTCATTACTGTATGTTTCGGATTCTACTACGTGCAAATGGTTTTGGAGAATCCATGGATGAGGGGGACTGAATGGACGGATCATGGCTTTCTGGCGCATGGGCTTTCAATGTGTACGATTTGATTGGGTTGTGAAGGATGAGTCGGTAGTCAGCGAGTTTCTATATACCTCTTTTAAGTTTATCGAACGCTTTTGCATGATGTTAAGATGACTGATATTGCCTTTTCCATGAACCTTGGAACGTCTCGAGCATTCCAAGGTTTGAGCGCGCTCAGTCCAGGTCCGCTCGTGAAAGAAGTAATCAACGTCAACGTGCCTTCTAGACCTTGTCGCAGCTGTTGCTCGGCGCTCTCAGCGGTTACTGTAGCCTCAGCGGTAGAAGTTACTTTTCGCATTCTGGCCTAGGCCATTGTGCGAGGCATTAACAGCTCCAAGGTGATTGCACCACCTGGGATGATACCCGCTCGCGAATCTAGTGGCGCGCACACCGTTATGCACATGACTAGGTTGCCCAGGGGACCCCAATTGCCCATCCGGACGTCACTCCGGGACAAGCAGTGACAAGCCGGAGTATCAGCGATCAGAGCTTATTGCGGTGATGGTAGCGTGACCGTACTTTAGGCGTTCGTCGGGCAGGGCTGATAGATTATGGTTGTGATCTTCATGGATGACAGCAGAGCGACCGAGCAGAAGACGCAGGAGCCACGTCGTATTTTACTTTCACCCGGGCGGTTATGCAACGTCTTTTCTATTTTCGAAGAGAAATCAATGTATCGAACCATCGTCTTTGGCATTAAGGTGCCTCAGCTAATGCCCGCAATCTTAGGCTGCATGGCAACTGGACCCTGAAATCGACAAAAGGAAGCGCCTCAGCCGATGCAGGAGTCGATCGGAGAATAGGAACGCGATGGATGGCATTAATGCTTCTAGAAGCGAGCACAGAAGGATTCCATTGCATGTGCACCGGGGGACTCGCATCCGGGATGTGGCCGGGACGAGAATATCAAACAAGACCGAAAGAGAGATCTCTCGGCCCCTTTTGGTCGGCGGTGCCATGGAACTCTGGTGCTGCATGACAGTTGGTGCCTCGAGGAGATTGAAACATCCAGAGCGCATGAGAGGGTTAGCAGAGTCGAAAGGTCACTGTGACGTGTAGCCTCAAAACAGCAGCGAGGATAGGGCAGGTTGATGCTGCGACAGACGTGTCGAGGAGGCGTGTAGCAAGATAGTTCGGCATGGTGTTTCAGCAGTCGTCAGGCTTTCACGCGGCGCCCCAAGCCATTGCGCGCCACCCGCGGGTCCTCGATTGGGCGGTGTACAGGCGGGTGAGCGTGTTTCGCACTCGAGCATCCTGTTTCATAAGGCCGACATGCCTTTGCGCTTCGCCAATGGAGTGCGATGCGGCCCCGTGCGGGCGTCTAATGCATCGTGAAATCGGCCGGTCAGCATCAGCCCTAAAACAGCACCTACCAAGCACACCCCTACACACCGTACCGCCTCGACCACGTTATCCACGTACGCACGTTGGAATCCTCGAGGGAATTCTCCCGTGCGCGTCCAATTGCATCGCTGAAACCCCAGCGCGTACTCGAAAATAGCCCTGCAAGCACGCGCGCCAAGGCCTGTCATCTAGCGGAGCACCATCCCAGACGACCGACCCCAACCTTGCAACGACTCCCTTTCCTTCTGCCCACCACAGACCAACGCGTCACCAGACACCGGGACCTGTACACGGACTCTGCAAACAGCTGACGCTGACCGTCCCCCTTCTCCACACATATATCAGTCCGGCGCCCGTCATTCGGGTCCCGCTCTTCTTTTTCTTCCGTCATGACTACAGCCGCTCAAGACGAATTCAACGAACTGATCCGAGACAAGGACCGCGAA